GAGATGTTGCATCCTTTTACAATTTCTACCTCATTGACCACGGGTAGTGCTCAGTGGAATTATTCGGATGAACTCCAATAGCCAAATTCCACCAACGCACATCGCAACAAAACTCCCGATTAGGGTTGCCATCTGTCCGGCTTTAGCCGGACATGTTTGGCTTTTTCGGGTTGTGTCCGGCCAAATTTTTATGTGTCCGGCCTGTCCGGCTTTTTGTTAGTGTAACGCATTGCACGCGTCGCTTACAGAATAAATAAATAAGTAACGTATATACTTGAAACTGTGCTGTGATTGATTAATAAACAATTAACGTATGTAACGGAGTATTTTAGTTTTTTTTTTCGGGGGGTTGGAGTTGGTGAGTTTTTTGGCTGCATGGCCTCAGAAAGGTATGTTTGGCTAAAAATTACTGTCCGACATTTAGGGCCAAAAGTCCGGCTTTTTGGAGCGCCGAGTCCGGCTTTTTCATTTTAGGAGATGGCAACCCTACTCCCGATACCTACCATCCACGCCATCTGGATATCTGACGGTCTACCATTGTGCGATTTATAAGGAGTTTTCTTCCTCGCACGATTTCTTTGTGGAATCGTTTACCACTGGCGATTTATGCGGACCGATATGGCTGTGGGAACTTCAAGAAATGAGCTTAAATTTGTCATATTTTTATTATGTACTAAAAGTTAACACTTATATAACAGCTCCCGTATGGTCTAGTGGCTAGGATACCTGGCTTTCACCCAGGAGGCTCGGGTTCGATTCCCGGTACGGGAAAACTTTTTATGGTTTTTTTTGCAGTTATATATGTATTTTTTTATTGTATTAGTTTAAATTCACATAAAATAAATAAAATCAACAAGTTTTTAGCTATTTTTCTTCATGTAGTGTGAGCTCTTAATAAATTATGGATATTTTTATATGTGACAAACGAGCACACAGTCCAGCTGATGGTAAGTGGTTGCTGTGGCCCATAGACATCTACATCTATAATCGTTCGTTAAATTATTTTAAACGTGGTAGATTAATATATTTGATGGTTTTTTGCCAAAGACTGCTATACTCTTCAGCACATGTTTTGTAGGCGTTTGTTTTGATTTGTTCTGTTTTTGCCAATATGTAATTTGCATAATGCGGAAACCGAAACCATATTAAACTGAGGCATTTCTTCTTAGTAAACAGTCGTCAGGCGAAAAAGGTGGCAGAGGTGACATCTTCCATGTGTTTTTGTAGTCATCATTATCAAAGTGACTTCGCATGAATCGAAGATTCGATTGTCACTCTATTGATAATATAAAAATTAAAAATTGTTAAAATACCATCGGGTCGGCTAGATTTTTTTAATATTCGGAAATAAAAAACGAAAGAAGAAAAATATTATATAAAACAAATATTCATATTTGTAGTAACATAATATTATGTATTATTTCCTAATTAAATGTGAAGGATTAAAAGGTATATTATATTAGCAAAATATATTTGTCAGAAGTGGGATTCGAACCCACGCCCTCAGAGAGGACCAGAACACCCATCACCCACTTTTCGTGGACAAGGATACCTTGAGTCTGGCGCCTTAGACCGCTCGGCCATCCTGACATATACTAAATAAAGCGAAATATGATTTTATACTCTATTCCTATTAAAAACCGATTGTTTTTTTTTTAATCAAATAAAGTTAACAGCCGAATTAACTATAACCTGGGTGAATATAAAAGTGAAACAAATGTGATGATGAATGTGGACTAATTTGTTCGTAGTTGTAGTTTTTAATTTGTTCATGTTGTGTTTTTGTCCTATGTATGTATTTTTTGAAAAGTCGGTCCTAATCTAAGTATATAATCTTTAATGTAGTTAGGTAATACGATTGAGTTATACAAGACTCAATGGGTAATACTTTTAATTAACTGTTTGTATTGAATGTTTGTCAAGACAATAAGAGTAGTTAAAGAATAATATTTATAATTAATCAGAAGGACGTGCTTCGATTAAGTACACAAATATGTTTTGTATTTTCATATGTATAAAGCATTACTTTGTACTCTACAATTATCAGAATAAATCAATTTATGAATTTAATTGTGATTTGATGTGATTAAGAATAATGTCATCTATTGTTACATATTGAAAATCTAAATGAACATTAATTAGCGTAGTTTGTAAACTTTGACAACCTAAAATACTGGTAATGCAAACTAGATGGCAGTGTTATAAACTTTTAGAAACTTCTGCTACATGGTACGTGCTCTGCTTTGTAGATTTCCAGAGGCAGAGGAGGCAACCGATATGGCGACATAGCTAAACGGATCAGTAAACTATTCCGGCAATGGAAATGGACCGGCGATATAGGTCGAAGAACTGACAACCGATGGGGGAGAAAGGTTCTCGAGTCGATAAGAGGTCGATTGGCACTAGATGGAATCACAGATAGATAGTACGTGATAACCTGGTAACAGGTGCAAGAAAACAATGCCTCAGGACCGTGCTTTGTCGAATTCCTCTAGGTAGGCTTGTGTTAAGCAGTGAGCAGGGCTGTAATGAGGATGATGATGTTGATAACACTTAGCGGTCACTTTGCGGGCTCACTTAGCGGTCAGCCACCGCAGTCTAGATCACCTGAAGATGCCACGTGTAGAGGCATAACAAGTGTCGTATTGTCGTCAGTGGTGTGTCTTTCCTAGTGTAGTGGTGATGGAAGTAGTGTTGCTGGAATTAGTGGTGACAGTGAGAGTTCATGCAATTGAGGGAGGGCGGGAGGTGCTCTTCAAACTAGGTAAGACACGACACATCATTTTATTTTATCGAGCGGATGTACGCGAAGTAATTTTTTTCCAATTTTATCATAACCCATTATATATCACACTAAAATTTTTATTGTTATTGAATACTATGACTAAAGTTTTTTTTTATTCTAAGTCTGTAATACCAATTTTATTTTTTTACGATTCCTACTTCGCAACTGTGGTGGAGATTTTTCGTGACATTTTTTACTCTAGCGGCCCCGGGTAGCAACATCCTATGCTATGCTACTGCCATCTATTGAACGTTATATGTTAGTAATTCTTTCTAGTGTTTTGGGGCTGAAAATCTGGCGCTGCCGTTTCTTTGTGAAGGATTCTCTTAAGTCATCATCACATTGTAAATTAATTCAAGTATGCTTGTGTAAATTGCTTATAATACTCGGCTGAGACAGGTAGTAGCGTTGAACTTATTATACTAATATTGATAATTTTGTTGTGTTTGCCAAGTATGGGGATCATGGAAAATTCTTCCTGCTAAAGGTGAGCAACATGTCAAACAACGGGTGTTTTAAGGGTTGAAGAAGAGGGGAAAATCACCACTTACCTTGGAGGGCCATCTATGGTGGCACCACAGTAAATTTATCTATATAGTAAATCATTATTTAATAATAAATAAATCATTATTTATATTTAATAATAAATAAATGCTTAAATATAACGTATTTTTAACCCCCAACAAAAGAGGGGTGTTATATGTTTAACGTGTGTATATGTGTGTCTGTGTGTGGCTCCTAAATGGATGAACCAATTTAGATTTAATTTTTTTGTTTAAAAGGTGACGTGATCTTTTCAGCCGTTTGAAAATCATCAGCTCTTGTTTCGGGGTATTTATAAATTTTCGATTTACTATTATTATTTATAGAATAAGTGACAAGCAAACACGTAGTCCACCTGATGATAAGTGGATGTTATGATCCATAGACATCTACATCTATCATCAATTAAGAATCATAATATCATCAGATGCATTGTCACCCTCGAGGACTATGATGGAATGCCTCATTTCCAGTAAAAAGGGTCGCCAGTTCTCTATAATGAATATACAAAATACAGCAGAATTAAGATGTTTTATGCTATTCTGTCAGAGTGCGGTCTTTCCCTGGTTGAACAGACCAATTGCTACAACCACAATATAGCTGCAAGATGGATCTACCACATGTAAAATCTGTATGGATACCATCCTTTTATAATTCTGCCACTTAGTAATAGTCATTTAGTCTTTTTAGTTTGTAAGGCATAGAGAGCCATTATTATAGAGGTTGTGAGTTCATTATCATCATTTGTTATGTTTACAGCCGATCACAAGTCTACAATGAGCCACCATGTTATATCAGGTTGTCATCATCTAGTGGAGGGTCGCCTAACCCTATGCTTGTCAGTTGTGAGTTATTTGACCATATTTCCCAAGAGTGACATACTACACAGCTGTACACATAGATTAGTTAGATTACGATGGGCTATTTTCCGCAACTCCACTTCTAAGCACGTACTTTGCATGTAGGTAGGAATATTGTGATTAATCGAGCCATTAAATTTCCTCGAAGAAGTTCAACTGTCCATTGACATTGAGAGCAACTTCAGAGAGTGATTCGGGTGTGCCAAGATATTTAGCCCTGTATTCAGCGACCTCTGGACATGGCAGCTACACATGGGCCGCTGTTTCTTCCTCACCATATATGTCCTGTACAGGGGCTATCTGTGACACCTATGGTAGATAAATGTATGTTATAAGAGCCATGTCCTGTAGTAGCACTTGTTGCTATACTGATTTGTGGCTAGTTCAATCTCATTAAAGCCTTGGTTAAACAACTGTACACATAACATTTTTTTATATTTACACAAACACTACACATATTCTATTATTATGTAGAAATAGTTATAATTGTAGCACTTATAACTGTAAGCATGTTCTTATTATACATATACCTACTAATATGAGGATTAAGACTGTTACTACATAATACAGGTTATTCTGTAACCTAGTTAGGAGGGCAGAGCTACATGCATTAGGTTGAAGATCATATTTTATAGATAGTACAAACAATGTAATGTCCCACCCATGTACTACGATCACTTTAATATAAATAAAGTTTATTATTTATTTATTTATCGATCCATGGACTGGTAGACAATGACTCAAGGCATTAAGTCGGCCCTTCGTATACTTTTGTTATAAGGAATGCAATAAAGAATAAATATGTAAGTATTTTATTCCACTATTTCACAGTCATCATCATCCACAAAACCACCATTTAAAGCATCATTTAAAATATCATTCCGATTCTTCTTGAGCTCACTGCTAATGAATCTCCTTTTCTCTTCTCTACATTTTTGTTGATTTGTTCTTTCTAGAGACGGACGTTCAACTAAGCCTTTTGTAAATGTATAAATAACTGTTGTGAAGTCTTCTTCAATAAACGCAAGGTTTATCGTGGGACCAGTTTCTACAGTACATAAATTTTCCTGCATTTTACTTATAAACTCCATGCTGATATCAAAACTGGTGGGAATTGGCACATATATGTTTATTTTTTCTTGTTTATTTGGTCTTGCAACTACATACAGGGAATCGACATCTTTATTATAGCAATATTCTGTGTCATACATAAGTTTTTCATCAATCAAATAAATATATAATTGATATGCTAACGCTATTTTCCTGTCTGATGTACACCCAAGAGATTTCATGTCTTGTTTTATTTTCGTTTCAATGTCCATAATTTTATACTTATCTTATTTCTTTGATTCTAGATCTCTTTTTATAATTTTATTGATCTACATATCATAATCACTTGTTTGTTTATTTACTGATAAATAAAAATAATTATACAGGTTTTTTTTATAACTGGCTTAACGGCTCTGGGTTCTAGCCCTTCTGAGCTTGAAGTTACAATATATAATTTCCTTCATAGTACACTGCTTCAAAATGATGATGCGTCACATTGTGCAGCCCTTGGGAGATTTTGACGGCAACTTGAGCCAGCTGACACTTGGCGATGGTATCTCAAGGCGCCTAAGCAGACAGACACCTTATCTTGAGAATCACATCACCATCAGAGCACTTGTTTTACCGTTTGCACTAATAGTTTACATGCGCAGACATTTATATACACAAAATCACACCACTTTTACTAATCAAAATCCACTTCAAACCATTATTTAAACAATAATACAGGACCAGCAAACCGCCGCCGGTCAAGTTCCCGCCAACAGGTATGGCATTTATGGCAATTTATATCATAGATAAATAAATATGTAGCAAGTAGCAATCAAAGACATTTTATAGGAAGTATAATATTATAATATCTTTGTTAGCAATAGCAAGATTAATATTATAGGCAGAAGCAAAGGCTGTAGACCATACAGCCCAGCCCAGGATGATGCAACGATATGAGTAAATAAACGGAACAGAGATAAAGCTTCATCGCAAATCGATTGCACTACTAAAAGTACACGGGGTATATGTGCGTGACCACTGGCCGCTTGTAGCGTACGCGGCGAGACTGGAAAAAACCGGTTACGCTGGCACAGCCAGTGGACAACAATCCCAGGATCAGTGCGACGCACGTTGTTTGTTTTGTTAGTTGCAAGTTTGAATATTTTAATTTAAAAGCGTGGTATTATTAATAATGGTTGTTTATTGTACTGTGTGTATAAATAATACTAGAAAAAATAAAAATATATCATACTTTAACTATCACAAGGAGTACAATAGGTAAGTAAATATTTGATTATTACTTTCTCCAGTAAGTACCTTTATTTTATTGTATGATCCTATTTTTAAAAAAAGAAGAGGGTATTACGGTACGGTGTGTTTTTACCTTTTTATTGTTATAATAAGCTTTTACTAAACATTTGTAGGTACGTGGGTGGGTTGGTATGTAGTCGGTATGTGTGTTAAGTTCACATATTGCAAGTAAGATTTTCAAATCTTACTTGCAATATATGAAGTGGTTCACCACTATCCGATGTCTGATTGCATTGAAATGTTGTATACCATAACTTCAGTGACAATGCAATAATATGATAGATATAACCTGATGCTGCAACCAGGATTGTCTCCTCACTAGCGAACTCTTCAACGGGTAGTAGCATTGACTCGAATCTTTCTATTTAAATTTAATTTTGTTAGCTGAATATGATCCTTACCATAAACTGCTGCTGCAGACAGGATAATAATATTAAATAATATTAAAAAGAAAAAATAAAAAAAGTTTCGCGAATATTTCGATCTTGAAATAAATATTGTCGATGCTGGCAACGAAATACTTAAACGTACTAAATATTGTATATTTGATATGCCATGTGAGTGTTTCCTGTTAGATTACTTGAAAAAAACTTTACTTTAGATTCAGAATTTACCACACCATTAAAAGAAACAATAAATTATTAATAAAACAAAAATTATAAAAAGAAAATTATTAGAATAATTAATTTGTAAAGTATTCTATCATACTGAATAATAAAAGTATTGTTACGCGCCACTATTAATGTCTTGTACATGGCAACACTAGTCACACTAGCGCCCTCTAGTGTCGAGTAGCAGAACTAGGAGAGTCGAGATCCTTCCAGAAATTTCGGGACCGATATGTACTCGAACATTCTAGATGTCGCTACAGTAGAAGGTTCTGGAAACTATCTGAGGCCCTATATAAGACCGGTATAGACCACGACCGGGGCAGTATTGAATTGGCGATACAAGAGAATACTTCGAAGCGAAATAACGGCGAACTGTGTTTTATTATTAGTGTGTTTTTAGATTGTAATTAGTATCCGTAATTAAAGTGTCAATTTTGGTAATTTAATCGGCAGTTTTTAATTGTCTCGAACCCCAAGTTCGTAACAGTATTTAATAAATGTTTTGTTTAATTTGTCTTCACCTAATGTGACAACCCTACCAAAATAGATAACAATTTTGCGGAGGTTTTGGCGGGAAATTGACCGGCGGCGGTTTGCTGCTCCTGTATTATTGTTTAAATAATGGTTTGAAGTGGACTTTGATATGTAAAAGTGTTGCGATTTTGTGTATTAAGTGTCTACGCATGTGAACTATTAGTGGAAACAGTGAAACAAGTGCTCTGATGGTGATGGATTCTCAAGATAAGCTGTTTGTTTGCATAGGCACCTTTAGATACCATCGCCAACTATCAGCTGTCTGCTGGATCAAGTTGCCGCCAAAATCTCCCAAGAACTGCACAATGTGACGCATCAACATATTGTGAAGCAGTATACTATGAAGGAGTGAGGAAATTACAATAAACCGAATAAAAATACTTAAGACTTGGCCTAAAGGTCTAGATACCAGGCCATAAACTCCAAAAAAAAAAAAACAATTTTGCACGTCAATTCTGTGTTAAACTACATGTTAATTCTGTGTTAAACTTTTAATTAATATTACGAGTATATAAGTTAATTCTGTGTTTGCTCATTAGGGTTTCTCTGGAATTTGCACAATTAATTCACCTATTAATAAATTAAAATTAAATTTTTAAATATTAGCAGAATTCTATTAAAAGAAGCCATGAATTAAAAGAAGAAATAAATGACATTAAGTTAAGTGTTGCACAAACAAAAATCAAAAAATGATCTTATCACTCCGCAGGTTTCCTAGAATAGAAGAAAAACTTATGACAATATTTTGGTAAATCTGTAGGCATTTTGAATTTATTGATAATTATTTGTAGGGACGGGTTAGTTTTGAAAGTAAGTCGCCTGAATTGGGGGTGGCATGGGGGGGGGGGAAGGAAGTGAAGTTGTAGAGTCTTCCCACTTCATTTTCCTGCCGGACGTGCTTAATTTTTGTTTAAATTTTTAAAAATCTCAATTTGAGGTTACGTTTTCGTAATATTTTGACAATATAAAACTGATTTATGGGGGGAGAGTAAAGTACGTAAAGTATATCTATCACTGTCAACAAAATGGCCGGCCTAGCGAACCATTTTACGCTTTTATCATTTTCCAGATAACTTTGGCAGATTCAACGTCAAAAACGTTAGAATTTAGTTAAATGTGCGTTCCATTGAAATGGAAAATCATATATTTATTTAACAATATTTAAAAATAATTTGACGCTGCTCCGGCAGCAAAAATCGCATGGGGGTGCTTCAGATGAGCCCCCTTGAACCCCCCCTCCCCCCAGTGACAGAATCTTCAAAATCAGGCGACTTACTTTCAAACCCAACCCCTATGAGAATTTTGCTGATTTAAATTTACATTACGCGTGGAAACATTGTCTGCAAAAGCAAAAAAAAAAACATCAATAATAATATATAGTGTATAAAACAATCTGTCTTCAGAAAAATAAAAGAACATCATCATCATCATTACAGCCCTTCACAAGTCCACTGCTGAACATAGGCCTCCCCCAAAGAAGTCCTGAGCCACCTGCATCCATCGACTTCCTGGATATCTTACCAGGTCGTCACTCCATCTAGTGGGGGGACGCCCTACACTTCGCCTGCCGGTACGAGGCTGCCACTCGAGAATCTTTCTTCCCCATCGGTTGTCGGTTCTTCGAGCTATATGGCCGGCCCATTGCCACTTCAGCTTACTAATCCGTTGGGCTATGTCGGTCACTCTAGTTCTACTGCGGATATCCTCATTTCTGAGTTTATCACGCAGAGAAACTCCGAGCATAGCCCTCTCCATAGCTCGCTGAGCGACCTTGAGCTTCCTCATCCGGCCAGCAGTGAAGGACCACGTCTCAGTTCCGTATGTCATCACTGGCAACACGCACTGGGTGTACAGTCTCGTTTTCAAGTTTTGAGGTATACCTGACGAGAAGATGTGCCGTAATTTCCCGAACGCTGCCCAACCGAGTTGAATCCGTCGATTGACCTCTCGGTCGAAGTTGGACTTACCTAGTCGGACTATTTGTCCCAGGTAAACATACTCGTCAACAACTTCGAGCTTAGTGTTCCCAACAACTACCGGCATAGGTGTGACATGGACATTAAACATGATCTTTGTTTTGTCCATGTTCATCTTAAGACCTATCCGTTGGGAAACACTATTGAGGTCATTGAGCATAGTGCTTAGGTCCTCCAGCGATTCTGCCATAAGGACTATATCGTCGGCAAATCGAAGGTGAGTGATGTACTCGCCATTGATGTTGATACCGTATCCTTTCCAGTCCAGAAGCTTGAAAACATCTTCCAATGCAGCGGTAAAGAGTTTCGGGGATATGACGTCACCCTGTCTTACACCTCTCTGCAATTGGATAGGTTTCGTACTCTGGTTCTGTACTCGGATAGCCATCGTAGCCCTACTGTACAAGCACTTCAACACTTCGATATACCGACAGTCAACTTGGCATCGCTGAAGGGACTGCAGCACCGCCCAAATTTCGACGGAATCAAAGGCTTTCTCATAGTCCACATACGCCAGACATAGTGGCAAATTGTACTCCTCGGACTTCTGTACAATTTGCCGAAGGGTATGTATGTGGTCTATGGTGCTAAAGCCTTTTCGGAAACCGGCTTGTTCGGGAGGCTGGAAGTCGTCAAGTCTGCGCGCGAGACGATTCGTAATGACTCTCGAAAACAGCACGTAGACGCGGCTCAGAAGGGAAATCGGTCTGTAGTTCTTCAAGAGAGCGTTGTCGCCTTTCTTGAAGAACAAGACCATCGCACTTCTGCTCCACGCCTCCGGTGTAATGCCACCATGGAGGACGGAATTAAAGAGCTTCTGAAGGACTTCAAGTACCGGTTTTCCACCCG